TATTGCAAATTTAAGTTCATAAGGAAGACTGGGTAAACTTACAAACATATGTTTATAATTTACGTGAGATATTTAAAAAAAAACACACCTAAAAACTTTGAGGGAATTCGCTTACCTGAAAGTCGCACTTCTCGCGTTGAAACGTGATAAATTTACGTCGAACCTGACGGCAAAATCGTAGTCACGTGATTTTTTGCCGTTTGCGGTTTGACGTTATCAAGTAAAAACGCCAATCTAAAACTCTCTATTATATTGCATATCACTGCTATATCTTACTAATAGCTCAGTTTTCTAACTAGATATCGGGAACAGCGGAGCCAGTGGGTTCACCTGCGGGCTCAAAATCTCAAAAATTCAGAATGGCGGTTTGATTCTATAAGGAATTGAATAATTTGAGTACGGTTGATTTTTAGCGACAACAATAACAAAATTGCAAAATACTACCGAGGTTGGATTTTTTGAGTTCAATATAAAACTGTATGTTATCCAAATGTAAGTATGACGTAATACTGAGAGACAAATGCATGATGGGATTGTTGTGTTGTTAGTTGAACTTCCTCGTGAAAGTAACTTACTGTACAAAACTACATTTGTAATAAACGTGAAAATAAAGAGTGAAAATAAAGAGTTTTAATATTGCGTGTATTTTTCTTACTAAACTGTATGAAAGCTCATTACTTTGGCTAAGAAAAAAAATGCCTTGCTTCCCTGATTTTTGGCAGAAATCCGGACGAGAAACATAAGTTTTTTTATAACTTGGCCATGTAGCTATGACCAAACAAAAATAAACATAAATACTAATACTGGCCCTTTATTATTGAAATCTTAGAACGAAATCTTCGCCAACACAAGTCATGCAATATAAATATATTTGCCGCGCCAAATGGTGCTTGTTTTTATGAATATACGAGCAAATTTAAAAATAATACAGTGGTATAGACCCTGGTAACCTAGCAACAACTCAGGAATGTCCATGTGACGCCTATCCTTCAGCAGTTAGCTTGGCTTCCAGTTGAGTGTATGTTAAAACTCAGGGATGCGGTTATGACATTTAAGTGCATGAAAGGGTTAGCTCCGTCATACTTGTGTGACAAATTCGAAATGAGATTAAAGATCCACAGTGTTAACACCAGAAATAAGGATAAGTTAGACATTCCACTGTATAATTCGGCTTCTGGACAGCGAACGTTTCATTATCACGCAGTGTCTATTTGCAATGAGCTCTCAAATCATATTATTAAAGACATTGAAACTTTGGACCGGTTTAAAATAGAATATAAACGTCATTTATTGCATGGATTTTTAGAAAGTAGTTAATAGTTTTAGACAATTTGGCCTTGTTTAAATTAGCATATAAACGTTTTTACTGTATGGATTTTATTAGGAAGTAGTTAATCATTTTTAAAGTGACATTACTAATAATTATAAAATTTTTAATTTGTGTTTGTATGTATGTACGTATGTTTGTGGGTGTATATATATATTGTTTGTAGTATTTAAATGATTTGTAATTACCTGCTGAAAAGCCCTTTTTGGAGCAGGCAATATTGTAATAATAATAATAATAATAATAATAATAATAATGTAAAATGGCAGAAAGAAGCGAAGTGGAGAGCAATATTTTGCTTGTTTATGCCTGTTTAGCAACGTACTATTTCACTGCAACGCTTGGTGGACTAAATTACGACAAATCTGCGGCATGAAAATGCTTTCGGGAACAGGTTTAAGGAAGCCACCTATAAATGCTGCTAAAAACAAAGTATTGTCCACCTCAAATTTGCTAAGACCCGGGACCGTGAGAAAAGTCGACCATATGTAGCCAAATTTACGTCTTGGAAAACCTCACTTCGGCATGTCGATTTAGTAGGCGTTTATACTGTATACAAGGTAAGAAGTATAAATGTAAATTAGTTTCGCGAACATGTCTGTGCTACTTGGATTGTCGCCAGATTTTCAGGATGTCTGATGGTCTTACCCAGGAATAGGTTTTCATTCGGGGTGGACGGCGTAGCAAATTTTCAAAAAACGGATACCTTTAATATAGAATCGAAGAAGTACAGTACCAAGGTGTAACAGTGACCATCTGCTGCCTCGCTGCGAGAAATACAAACGTGACACGGTCAAAGAAACAGTGAACTTATTGCGAAGAAAGGGTTTGTGTGACAATTGCCTGTTTCAAGGCCCGAAAGAAAATTCCGTGTTAAGGTAATCGGTTGCCAATCAAAGCATTCCGCGTACTTATTTACACACGCTGAATACTAAACTTGACGAAGGGGATAACTCACGCAGTGAACGTCCGAAGGCCCAGATCATCAAGAATCCGATGTACGTAGGCAACAATATTACCGGGCAGAATGGCTTTAGTAACAGCCAATTAAGATAGCTTAAGTGACGTCAACAGTGCAGGGTGTATAGAACTCCGCCAAACTGCGTGGTGGTCATTACGAGTTAGCTTTTCCCTGGAAGAGCTCTCATCTTCGTTGCCAAGCGATCGTCCCGTTGCCGAGCATCGCCTTGCTCTGTTGAAGAGAAGATTCAATAAAGATCCCAAGTTGTTTTCAAGATGCGCAGAGGTGATGGATAATTTGTTAGACAAATGATACGCAACGAAAGTTCCAGCCAAATCAATGGAAATGCACTACAAAACCTTATGGTATTTACCTCACCACCCAGTGATTAATCCAAAAAACCTGAAAAGCTGCGAGTAGTGTTTGACTGTGCTGCTACAGTACTTATCACGGTACATCTCTCAACGATAAACTGCTCCAGACACCGGACTTAACGAACGGTTTGATTGGTGTATTAATTCGTTTGAGACAAGATCTAGTGGCGTTAATGGCGGACATTGAATTAATGTTACATCAGGGTCATGTTCCTGAGAAAGATTGATATGTTTTGCGCTTCTTGTGGTGGCCTGGTAACGTTCACTTGTTTGGTGCTAAATCCTTACCAACCTGTGCAAATTTTGTTTTGCGAAAGACAGTAACCGACAATGCGGAGGAATTTAATTTCAATTTTACAAGCTCTGTCACAACAAGAATACATCATGACAAATAACAATCATTACATATATAACATTACAAATGTGACAGGAAATCACAACAGCTTCAGGCCAATTACTGTGATCTCAAAACGTAAACGTACAAGTACAGTGTTATACAACATAGACACACATAGACACACATATATGTATATATATATATATATATATATATATATATATATATATATATATATATATATATATATATATATATATATATATATATATATATATATATATATAGATATATATATAGATATATATATAGATACATATCTAATTTAAAAACAACATGCATGCAATAGGTTTGGTTAGGTCCCGGGCCTGGTTACATTTCAGGCAAATTGTTTTCCACGACCGAGGTTCATCCACATCATAATTCCTATCGAATGCGGTATAGTAATATTTAATTAAGAGATTTTAAAAAACGAGCGGGAGTGTTTTATTAGGTTTAAAGCCACGAGCGCGCAGCGCGAGTGGCTTTAGACCTAATAAAACACGACCCGCGAGTTTTTTAAATGACTTCAAAAACGTATGCATAATAAGTCAAATCTTTATATAAAAATCTTAATATAAAAATCTTTATATAAAAACCTTTATATAGTTTGCATAACAATGGTCTTTTGTTAAAGTGTTCTTTAGCTGGTATAAAGACGTATGCACATGACTAATTTCTTACTCAAGATTGGATAATTGCTTCATGAATTATTAATGAGTTTTTGAAAGGTTATTCAAAAATCATTAATAATTCAGGAGGAAAACACAAAGAAAAATCATAAGCGTGTCGTGGTTTTATATGTGATAAAACTGAAATCATGCTAATTTACATAAACTTTAGCTTTGATTTTCTCGGTTTAGACAAAGTTTATTTTAAAAATTACTTCGCCAATGAACTCGTATAAGATGAGTCGTTTTTGAAGCCATTTAAAGCACTTGTAGTCGTGTTTTATCACATATAAACACTCCGCTACGCGTCGTGTTTTATATGTGATAAAACACTCTTACGCGTGCTTTTAAATAGTACTTAGAGAGTTAGATTTATCGGTTATTGATCCTGGTAATGTGTTCCATATTCTTGTTGTTCTTATCGTATAAGTCTGTTGGTAGGTAGAGGTTTTACATTTCATAACTTGGAAGTTTATGGAGTTCGGATCCACTGATCATGTAATTCGTGAGTTTTCATTATGTTTGGGAACAACTGCATCCGAGAGGCACATGATACCGCAATTTGCCTTGTAGAAAAATAACATGTCTAGACATTCATGCCAATAACTTAGGGGTAGAAAGACCAAGTCAATAAGCCTTTGGGTGTAGCTGCTTTCACAAAGGAAAGGTAGATCTAACATGTATTTAGAAGCACGTCTTTGTACGCGTTCTAAGCGAGCGATGAGGTCGATAGTTTGCGGAGACCAAACATGTGTAGCATATCCCATTTGCGATCGAACAAGTGTTATATATAGCGTCCGACGGGCTTTACAGTTCTTGATTGTTCTTGTTGACCTTTTGATGAAACCCAACATTTTATTTGCTTTGAGCATTGTTCCAATACCTGTTTGCGCCAGGTCAAATTGTTTGATATCCATACGCCGAGATCACGCTCATTTTCAACGTTTACTAACATGCTATCTTGTAAGGTGTATGGATACTTGAGCTGGCGATGTTTACTGGTGACCCGCAGAGCTTTACATTTGGAAGTGTTTAAGTGAAGACCCATATCTGAAGAACTTGATTCAAAATTACTCAGGTGCTGATTCAAAATTACTGATTCAAAATTACTTGATTCAAAATTACTAACGATGCAGCATCACCGATATTGTGGATTCCTTTGAAGATTTTGGTGCCATCAGCGTATGTTGCAATGGATAAATTCTTCACAGAAGAAGGGAGATCATTTTCGTATAACAAAAATAACACCGGTCCGAGAATGGAGCCCTGAGGTACCCCTGATGTTATTTGACTAGGTAAAGATGTTGCACCGAGGATGGTTGTTTGTTGACGACGATCTTGTAGGTCGGAACCAGTTGAGAATGTTGCCTCCAAAACCAAATTCACGGAGACGAAAAAGAAGACGTTTATGGCTAACTTTGTCAAAAGCCTTTGACATATCTAAATAAATTACATCGATCTGTTTGCCACGATCTAGTTGTTTTCCTATCTTGTCAAAAACTTCGATAAGTTGGGTCACACAGTTTTTCCCGGGAAGGAAACCATGTTGACAAGGATTTATTCGACAGAAAATATGATCTTTAATAGTATTGAAGACACAGCGTTCCAGAATTTTCGAAACCAGAGAGAGCAGAGATATAGGTCGATTATTTTCCACAAATTCCTGGTCTCCTTTTTTATGAGCAGGAACAACATTAGCGAGTTTCCAATCAAATGGTACCACGCCGATACGCAACGATTTGTTAAACAATTGACATAGAGATGGAGCTATTTGAGATGCAGTTTCTGTTAGTAAACGAGCAGGAATCCCATCTGGGCCATGAGCCTTGTCCTTATCAAGAGTTCTTAGTCCATTAGCTACGTCGCCAGGTGTTAAAACAACATCCTCCAACAAGGAAATGTTATCACCGATCGTGGACGGATCTATAGAAGTATCTGGATCATTGGTGAAGATGGATGTAAAATAATTATTAACGAGAGTTGCTATGTTCGCTGGTGTTTCTGAGTATTTCCTTGAATTTCCTTCAACCCCCCTTGAGACTTTCTCGGGAACATTGCAAGATTTGGTTTTTAGCTTGAAGAGCGACCAGAAACGCTTTGGGTTATTTCCGTGATCATCACAAATAGAGTTGATGTACTTTGAACGACTTAGTAAGAACGTAGTTGAAAATCGAACGATAAAACGAAACTACGTAGTTTCGAACTCCTAAATTAAAAGGTCGTCCCTTTTATACCAAAACCCGAGAGAGCTGGTTCTGTGAAGGATGTATGTCCTGATCAGTCAACCCTGGAGCGAGTAGTTGGACTAGATCGGTTTGAATTTAAGATAATTACGAAGGAATAACCGTCTACAAGAAGAGGAGTACTTTCCTTAGGTAGTTCTGTGTATGACCCTCTGGGATTCGCTGTTCCGTTCGTTCTTGTTGCTAAGATGCTAATGCAGGAGTTATGTCAGAAGAACGTAAGTTGGCACGATCCTATAATTCAGGAAGAATACCTCCAACGATGGGAAAGTTAGCAGACGCAACTATATAATGAAAATTGAGCAGCTCTACATGCCAAGATGCTTCAAACCACCCAATTTTGGGAATATCGGGTCAAGTCAATTGCATCAGTTCCAAGATGCATCTGAAGGTGCATACGGCGTAGTTAGCTATCTGCGATTGGTAAAGAACGTGGTTACATTAATGTTTCGTTTGTGATTGGCAAAGCTCATCTGGCACCGCTCAAGGTAGTTATGATTCGCAGGGTCTCTTTAACAAATAGACTGGAGTGCATGCCCTCCCCAACCTTATTACTGGCCCCTCTAGTCGGCAATTTTGTCCCCCCCCCCCCAGTGATGTCCCTGAGAACTACCAGCAGTAGGTGATCAACCAGCAATTATATATCAAAGTGAAAAATTAAAATGATGTTAGGTTGTTAACATTTCCGAATTTGACCATCATCTGCATACCCTTAACTAGCTATGAGTCAACCGAGTGAGTTGACTCGGTAGGAATTTTGGGACTGAAATTTAAACATCGCCAGAAATATAAACCATGGCTGAAATAATTTGCTCGTGGAAAAAGGCATGAAATGGCATTTTACGACGAAATTCTAGTTTAGTTTTTCCAAGCAAAGATACTCCAAAGAGATCACCCTATCTTGCTCTTCAGTGACACTAAGAAGACGAATGCGTCGATGTCAAGTACCCCAATACATGTAATATACAGGGGCCGGTTGTTCAAAGGTGAATTAGCGCTAACCCTGAGTTAAAATTTAACCTGCTATTTTAGTTTGTGTATTTCTACACGCGAGATAAATACTAAAATAGGAATTTTCTATGCTGGGTTAGTAAAAGAAAAAGCATAATTTTAATTGTACGTAATTTCGATGAATACTATAAAAAAAATTATACGCATTGTTTATATAAATTAGCTAACATTTTCATATTTATTACGATAGTAGCGACGTTTGTTTTAGCCATGTAACAAAATAAACTATAAGCATTCTGATCAGTTATTTAATATATCAAATTTGTGAATTTTAATTGACAAAATTTTGAAATTTATTCTCAGCTATGGAGCTTACGAATATATTTTTTTCAAAGAAAAATATTGAAATTCGATTATTTATAAAATTGATATTTTTGTTAATTGACTGATCAGAATGCTTATTTATAGTTTATTTTGTTACATGGCTTGATAATATACATAAAGATATTACTCGACTGTGATTGGTTGATTTCAGTGCAGTTAATCTCAAACAGCAGTGCAATTTTCTGTAATCACAGTGCAATTTTCTGTAATCACAGTGCAATTTTTTGTAATCACATGCAATTTTCTGTAATCACAGTGCAAAAATCTGTAACAAACTGATCTGATTGGTGGAAAAACATTGTGATGATCAAATCAACCAATCAGTTTAAGGCAGTTTAGTTTTAAAGAAGTAACGGTCACAGATTGCTTCAAAACAAAAACAAACATGGCGCCGCGCTACACAAAGTAAAGTTGCCTTCGCGTGGAAAATATGGCTTTTATCTTTATTTTTAAATGGAAAAGCATTTACCTTAAACAAGACTAACAAAAAATACACAGTTGAGTGGAATTTTCAAGCTGTTAGCGTTGTATAATGTGATAAAAGAAAGCCAGGAAAACTTTGAATGGAATGTTCCAGGAAAACCAGGAATGTTCGCTATAAACGCGTAAGTTAAAACTACAATTGTCTCGAACATTTTTATGTAAATTATTAATGAGTAATAGCATGGTTTCTCGTGAAATTTGGATAAACATGCACTTGTGAGTTTTTCAAAGACCTCAAATAGCACTCGTCCTTCGGACTCGTGCTATTTTGAGGTCTTTGAAAA